CTTGGAAACTGGGAAAACCTGCAGGAAATTAAACATGTTACACAGTCAGAATATGGCAAAAAAAAAAAAAAAAAAAAAAAAAAAAAAAGGCAATATATCATCCTGAACTTGCTGCTCCAGCCCAGCCTCACCTTCCTGCCCAGGAGCTGGTTGGAGAGCGTGGATTTTCCAGCGTTGGGGGCGCCGATGATGGCGATCCTCAGCACCTTGGGGTTCTTGGGCTGGTCGGGCCGGTGCTGCAACAGCTGCTTCTGCTCCTCTGCCGGGGAAAGGAGGGGCTTGAGCGCTGCTAAACCCCCTGGGCGGGTCGGGATTGTCCAGGAGGGGCAGCACCGGGCACCACCTCACCTTTGCTGGTGGCCACGGGTGGCGGGTGCTGGCCCAGGGGGGCGGGCGGTGCCTCGGCGGGGATGCCCAAGAAGCTGCCCAGCGCCGAGCTGCTCCCGTTCCAGCGGGCAGGGACGCTCAGGATCCTGCCCAGCGCTGCTCCAGTTCCCAGCTCCCAGTTCCCGCTCCAGCGGCTCCCCGGGAGGCAGCCTGGAAGGACACCACCAGCAAACACTGCATATACCGAAAACTTCCCCAAATCTCGCTGTCCCCTCCCTCCCCGCGCAGCAGCGCCTGGGCAGCGCTGCTGCCCCGCAGCCTCTACAGGGCTTCTGGGCCAGCACCGGAGCGCCCGTCCCTCTCCTGCTCGCCGCCTCACGTCCCCGGCCGCCCCCCAAGCACTCCCACGGCCCCGCCGCACCTATTCGCAGCAGGAGCGGCCCCGTCGTGGCGGCCCCGCTGCCCCAGCGCAGAGCGCGGGCGACGGCCGCGGCCATGGAAGCCGCCATATTGCCCCGCCGCGGGGCACGCCGGGAGCGCCACCGGCACCCGCCCCCATTGGCGCGCCAGTGCGGGAGCATAGAGACGAGGGGAGGGCGGGGCCAGCGCGCCGCTCTGCCGCAGGGGGTTATGGGAAGGAAGCGGACTGGGCGGGATGGTGGGAGCGGGGCGCGCCCCCTGCCGGCTCCGCCGAGCAGTGCTCCCTCAGTGCTCCCAGTGACCCCAGTGATCCCAGTGACCCCCCCAGTGCTCCCAGTGCCCACAGTGACGTCAATGCTCCCGGTGTTCCCGGTGCTTCCAATGCCTCCAGTGCCCTCCGTGCTTCCCGTACCCCCAGTGCTCCCAGCGTTCCCACCACACAGTCCAGTGAGCCCCAGTGCCCTGGGGCATACAGTATGTCCCAGTTCTCCCTACAACCCTCCTCACTCCATCCCAGTGCACCCCAGGATGCCCAGTGCCCCCCACAACACACCCCATGTATCTGAATACTCCTCTGTGCTCCCCAGTGAGCCCCAGAGCTCCCAGTTCCCCTCTTCAATGCAACCCTGTGCCTCCCAGTGCTCCCCTTACACCCCAACACTCCCCGGGTCTCCCCAGTCTCTCCCAACACCCAGGAGTGCCTCCCAGTTCTCCCCAGTGCTCCCTTCAACACACCCAACGGGCTCCACTGTCCCCTGCACTCCAACGCCCTGCCCACACCGCACCCCAAGGTACCCCCGTGCCCCATTACACCCAAATGCACCCAAAATTCCCTCTCCCACCCTGCAACCCAGTGCACCCCCGAGCTCCCCAGTCCACCCCAGTGACCCAGTTCCACCGGGCCTGGAGTCCCCGGGGGACGTGGTGAAGAAGCAGAGACAGAGATGCGGTGCTGTAACCCCCTTTTATTGTCCCGTGCCCGATCCCGGCGCTCCATCTCCGTGTCCGTGCCGTGCCATTCCGTTCCGTGCCGCGTGCCCGGCCGTCGGCAGAACCGTTACCATTACTAAACTCAGTAATGGTAACGGTTTCCCCGCCGGCCGCGGATCCCTGGAGGTGCCCCGAGCTTCTCACACCTCGCGGTGCCCCATCCCACCACCCTCCCTACCCCGCACACTTGTCCCACATCCCAGCCCCGCCTCCCCCCCCGCCCCCGGTGCCCCCCGTCGCGGTCCCACGCCGTGTCCTGGCGGGCGGGTGGTCGGTGCAGCCCGGGGAGTACATCATCTATACTGTAGTGTCTCATAGCCAACTTACAGTATACGATGATATCCTGCTCGGAGCGGCGGCAGCACAGGGAGCAGGGAGAGGAGCCTGTGCGGGGAGAGCTTGGTTAGGGAGCGCAGCACCAGGATCGCCCCATCCCCACCTCGCTGTCCTGCTCACCCCATCCCTGTCACGCTGGTCCTGCTGCACCACAACAGGACAGAGACTCTCAAGGGCCTCCCCACCCCATCACCCCCCTACTCCCTCATTATCCCTCCCAATCCCACCACCCTAAAGCAGGATGGAGGCTCTTAGTGGCTTGCCCATCCAGGCATCCCCCCTACACCCTCCTTGTCCCCCCATTCCCACCACCCTGGAGAAGAGCAGGGGCTCCCAACAATCTCCTGACCCCAACAATTCCCTATCCCACCTCTGCCCTCCAGTCCCACTGTTCCAGAGTGGGGTGAAGGCTCCCAATTGCATCCCCACTCCAGCATTCCCCTAACCCCTCCTGGGGTATTCCAAATCCCATCACTCCAGAGCAGGAGAGCAGCTCCCCAGGTGGTGGTACCTACCTATAGGGGTGGCACTGGGGTTTTGTGGGGTGCTGGGTCTGTACCCGCCTTATAAAACCTGCTCTGCCGCATATCTCACATCTGCACTGCACAGCTGGACGGGGCCCTTAACCCCTTCTTGCCCAGGGGGGCACAGCCCCAAGCAGCTCCTGCCAGCCTGCAATTGCCCACGGGGGGTTGGGAATGAGGGGCTTGCGGGGGGTCACCCCCTGTGCATTCAGCATATAGGACTGGCCCCCACAAATCCCCCACCCTCCTACCTTGACCCCTGTGGTCACCAGGATTGTCCCTTCCCATAGCTGTGGGGAACCCAAATGGGGAGCTATCCATTGCAAACTGGCTCCCACTTGCTGGACGGTGGGGTGGTGTTGGACGGGGCAGGGTGGCAGTCCATGGGGATGGGGCCTGGGATGGTGGTGGTGGGACATGTGGGTTCAGGGGGTCACTCTGCACAGGCACTGCCAGGTGAGGAGCCTGTGTCCCCCTGGGGTGGGTGACCTCCAAAGTGCTGTATCCCCTGAGGGACATGTCCCCATGCAGTGTGTCCCCCCAAATAAGATGTGTTCCCTGCAGGAACAAGTATCCTGGGAGTTCATGTCCCCTCTGTGAGTGCACCCTCCTCCCAGGGGTATGTGTCTCCTGCAGAGAGGTATCCCCCAGCTGTGTGTCCCCAAGGACATGCCCCCCCGACCACACGTGTCCCCAAGGGCTGTGTCCCCTCATTGTGCATGATCCTGGTCATACTTGTTCCCTGGCCACATGTCCCCAAGTGGCTGCACCTCCTGACCATGAGTGTCAACTGCCTGTGCATGACCCTGGTCATTTGTGTCCCCCAGCTCTGTCTGTCCCCACAGGGCCACATCCTGCAGCAGGTGCTGTGCCATTGTGCTGGGTTGTTTGTGCCAGGACATGCCGGCATTCCTGGAAGTCGGCTGTGGGGAGGTGATAACCCCCCGCCGGGACCGTCTGCGTGGGGGTCCCGATAAGCAGCAGCGTCCGGCTATCGGGGACCCTGCCCTGCCACACAAGGTGTCCCCAGACCTGCTGTCACCTCTGGGTGACAGGAACAGGGGCAGCATCACCCCAGCCTGGCCAGACCCTGGTAGGAGGTGGCACAAGGTCAAGCCTTGGTGCCACCCTGGCACCAGACATGAGGATGTGGGGGACTCGGGGGCTGTGAGGGATTGTTCCCTCCTGGTTTTGATCCCTGAGGTGACTCAGAGGTGTCCTGGAGCCCGTAGTGCTCCCCAAACTGTGGCACAGGCACCCCCAGCACATAGAGCAGCAACACAGGCAAAGTGTCCCTGAGTTCCTCAAGCCCTGCCAGCCCCATGGGATTGTCCCCATCCCAGCCAGTGCCCGCCAGCCCCACTGCCCACTCTGCACACACACAGCACTTGAGGGTAGCCCTGCCCTGTGGCCTTGCGCCCTTCAGGAGAGAGGGGGCCCAAGTGTCCCCCCAGGCTGGTATCACAGAGATGGTGAAGGGACCCCTGGGTGCCACAGGAGACCCCTGTGTGCCACAGCCCTCCCACCAGCCATGCTGGCCCAGGGCAGCATGTCTGGCTCCAGATAAGGATGTGCTGGGGGCTGCCAAGCTGTCCCCACCCAGCCTATCTGCAGGGCCACCCTGCAGGACACATAGGACAGGGCCTGTTGTCTTGCCCTGTGTCTGGGGGGGACATGGAGGGTCTGGAAAGCAAGAGAAACCATCTTTACCCCTGGGAGATCACTGCAGCAAAGTCCCCCATGACAACCTCATGCTGGCTGTCACTGCTTCTGCTCACTGGGTGACCCCAAGCAGGACAGGTACCCCCAGAGCCACCCAGCCAGCCCCCAGCACAGGGAAGGGTGTGTGGGGCTGGGAGAGGGTTCCTGTGGCAGGACAAGGGGAGATGAGCTGCTGCCACCAACCTGGTTGCTGGGACAGACAGAGCCTTCCATCCGTGTCAGCCCTGCTCCAACCCCTGGGGTGCCAATCTTTTGGGGTGCCCCTGCAGTGGTCAGCACCCCCAGCATAACAGGAGCCATGCAGTGGAGCTCACCAGTCACCCTCGGTGGCTCCTGGCTGCATGTTTGTCCCTGTGGGAGCAGGACAAGGCTCTACACCCACAAAGGTCTGGGGCAGGGAGCCCATGGGGGCACAGTGACCGTGGGGAGGTCACCAGTTCCCTGGTTTGCAGGAGCAGTGTGAGCCAGGACCTCACCTCCACACACCATTATTCCCCCATCCCAGCAGGAACACCTGCCCGGGAACACCAGCAGCCCCCGGCCAGCCCAATCCTGGGGGTGCTGGGGCGGGAGAGACGGGCGCGAGGCACGAGACAGAGCCCAGGCGGGAGGTGACACGGGTTTATTATCTCACAGCAGGCACAGGCACATGCAGATACAGGGCCCGGCCCGGCACGCCTGCTGGCCAGCGCCAGATCTGCACCCACCGCCCGCGGGCCGGCACCAGCCGGGGGCTGATAATGCCGGTCCCCCCGCCCCGGCCGCAGGGAGGGGATGGGGGGCCCCGCAGCACCCACCCCTCTGCAGTGGGTCACTCCCGGCAAAGGGACTGGCTGTCCCCCGGGACGGTGGAGAGGGACCTTCCCCCACTCTATGGAAACCAGCACCGAGCTGGAGGGTGCAGGAGCTAGTGGAGGGACCCCCAAAACCCCACCACAGTGCAGGTTGACCTCACCAGCAGCGCCAGGCTGACCTCACACACGGGTCTGGCTGTAACAGCCACATCGAGCACAGGCATCAAGATAGGCGGGGAAGGGACATGGGCCAGCGCAGGGCCCTGGTGGCACTGCAGGGAGGACGGACACACACACGGGACAACCCCTTTCACATTGTCACAAGGCAGCAAAGCCACTGGCCATAAGAGGCAGGGGGAGGGAGTGAGGTAGGGTTTCCTGCACTACCTGCTGGGGCAGGTCCTGGCCAGCACCCAGCCACAGGGCCACTGGTCCCCAGGCAGCTGTACAGGAGGAGCCTGTCCCCACTCAAGTGTCCTGCTGGTTCCCCCCACCTCTGACCCACAGTTTTAGTGTTGTGGGGTCAGGATGTACCACAGCACCCAGGGACAGCAGCTGCAGTGGCTTCCCTGCCCTCTTAGGGGACAGGTGGCTTTGGCACAGCACTACTTTTTGGTATTCCTGGTGGTGGGATCTCACCATGGCTGAGCTGGGCTCCCTCTGCCCCTCAGAGCTTTCCCCGCTCCAGATCCCACAAGGAAACTTCCTCAAGGGGAAGTAGCATGGGAGTGGGCAGCACCACTGGCAGTGCTGGGTTGTCACTCTCCTGGGGGGTGACTGCCACCTCTGGGAAGCCCAGCCTGGGCAGGGCTGCTGGCACTGCAGGGGCACTGGGGGTGAGACACTGGGACAGGGAGAGCCAGCCACAGGGACAGCTGTGGGAGACAGGGCTGGGGCAGTGCCCAGGAGGGTCACTGAGGGAGAGCAGGGGGGTCCTGGCTGTTCTCTTCCTACAGCTCCACATCCCACCAAGCCTCTGCCTCGAGCTCTGGGCGCTCACCTGAGGGCAGAGAACAGCAAGGCACCGGGACTGCAACACCAGACAAGCTGCCAGTCGTATCTGGGGAGGGATTGGCCTGAGACAATACATAGTTAATTACAAAATAAATCCCCTCCCACCCTTGGAATAAAAAGAGCAGCAGACAGGACATGCATCTTTCTGGCCCTACAAAATAAGGCACCAGTTACAAATGAAAACCAGATTGTCTTTGATATAAAAGGAATTCCCACGTGTCGAAGGCAGTTGATGTCTGAGTGCATAACAGGGAGTGATCTTCACTAGCTTTGGGTTGGCCAACCTCATTCCTTGGCCACGGTGGCTTTCTGGAACAGGGGAAGCTGCAGGAGGGGAAGAGAGAAGCTGTTAGGGCTGGAGGAGAGGGAGGCAGGGAGCTGCCTGCACTCTGTGGTGGGCAGGGCTGGGGAAGGAGAGGCTCCCTGAGAGGCTGAAAGCTTCCAGGCAAGTCCCTGTGCCCTAGGAGCTGTTGGCATCGCCAGCTGCCAGTGCCCAGCTCACCTTTGTGAGATCCACACCAGTGAGGGCGCGCACGGAGGTGGGAATCTCAGCCAGCAGACGGTTCACCTCGGACATGGTGTTGTTATTGTCTCCGCTGAGAATAACAATCTCATCCACTTTGGAGAGGGGAGCAGACACTTTGGCAGCGATCTAGGGAAGCAGGGAAGGAGGGTGGAATGAGCAGAGAGTCAAGGAACTGGTCAGCAGCCCACTGGGCAAGATCCCTACACATCACACAGGGCCCTGCTGTGCCCACAGGAGACCCGGCCCAGCCTGGGAGCTCCCCAGCGCTTGCCCAGGGCAGGGGAAAGCTGCTCCCTCCTCACCTCAGGCAGTGCATCCAGCACTAGAGCCAGCCTGGCAGCTTCTCCATACTGCTGGAGCGCTTCTGCTTTCAGCTTCAGCCCCTCAGCCTCCGCCATCCCCATGGCCTCGATCACAAAAGCCTCTGCTTCGCCGATCTTGCGGATCTTTTCTGCCTCTGCCTGAGCAAGGAGGATTTGCTTCACCCTGGAAAAGGAAATCCAGTGCTGTAGCAGCCCAGATCTCTGCAGAGAGCCCATGAGCTGGGGCAGCACTGTGCTCCCAGCTCAGGTCACGGGCTCACTCACTTCTCTCCCTCAGCGATCTGCTGGATGCGATAGGCCTCGGCCTCGGCCGGCTGCCTCACGGTGGCCATCAGCTCCTTCTCCATCCGGATCACCTCCTTCTCCTCCACATCGATCTGCTTCTTGCGCTGCACCACCTCGATTTCGATTTCCTCCTGACGGATCTTCTGCTGCTCCCGGGCGCTCTGCAGCTCGTAGGCCAGCTGGGCCTCTGCAGTCTGCACAGGGGGGAGAGGAAAAGAGGGGTCTGGGCCACGGGCTCCTGTGCACAGACATAAGGACCCTTGGCAGGACCTAAAACCAAACACGGCTCCTGCTACTGAACCTCTTCCCAGGGGTGACATCCCAATATTCGGTGCTGTCCTTCCCTGTGCACTTTTCCCATACCACTTGAGCCCAACCAGCTCCAGGTTCAGGCAGGACGACCCTCCCCACCCTTTCCTCCTAGTCCCACCAAATTTCTGCAAACAGGAGAGGAATCTGCTGCAAGAGCTCACACTGTGACACACAGTCCCAGGTTCTCCACTTTCAACTCTCCTAATAGATGTAGGAGAAAGAAGCTGACAAGCCCAGAGCCATCAACACCATCACAAACCCTCCAGGGAACAGCGGTGGGCTGTGGGACACTCTCACCTTAATGTTGACCTCCTCAGTGAAGGCAGCTTTCTGCAATTCAAAAGCCCGTTTGGAATCTGCTATTTTGGTATCTGCCATGAACTTGACATCCATCATTTCTTTCTTGCACTCTGCCTCCTGCGGAGAGGGAAAAGAAAGCAGAGCTTCAGGGTGTGCAGTTGGAGCTAAACAGGCTGCTCCGGGGAAGGCTGGCACATCTCCGGACTCACCCGAATGCCAGCATCCCGCTCGGCTTCTGCCACTCCAATGTCTGCATCCCTTTGGACAGCTGCAATCTGAGTCTTCCCCAGGGAGCTCAGGTAATCCACTTTATCATAGACATCCTGGGGAGGAGAGAATAAGTCACAACCACTTCAAACAAGCGGCTCCATCTTGCTCCCTCCCCGCTGAAGCTCTGGGCAGCCACTCATGCGGTCAGGCCGAGGTCAGAACGCGCCATGTCAGCTGATCCACACAAACAGGCAGGGCAGGGAGAGGCAGGCTCTCCCGACATCTTCCCTCGACTCCCTGGAGGCTGGGTTATCAGCCAGCTCTCTCCACGAGCCTGTTTACAGAGGCAGCTAACCCGGTGCTCTTGGCCCAGCTGCCTGGATACAGGACATGCTGCGGCGGCTGTCATGGAAACTCCCGGAGGGCTGGGGCAGGCTGTCAGCTGGAGCCTTCCAGCCGGCTGCAGCGGAGAAGCCAGAGCCAGGCTCTGCCCTGCTGCTCCTACAGCTCTGCCCATAGTGCAGCGCCCGATGTCTGGATGTACCTTGATGGTGAAACTCAGGATCTCGATCCCCATGCGACCCACGTCAGGGGCTGCCACCTCCCGCACCAGCTTGGCAAACTGGTCCCTGTCCTGGTAGATCTGCTCCACTGTCAGGGTCCCTGCAGGGGGAAGAAAGGTGAAGCACTTTATTTGGAACAGGTAACACACAATGACATGGGTCTAAGCTCAGCAACATCCTTGTTGTCCCTTATCTCTTCAGGCCTGGGCACAAGGTTGTAATCCTCTGCCCCTGCAGTGGCACCAACATCTCAGTCTCACAAGCGCAACCACCACCCACACATGCTACCTGTAACCCACAAAGGACTCAGACATCTCTTACTGCAGGCACTGAAAAGTCATTTATCACAATGCACAGCAGGAGCTGCTGGAGGGGAGATGCCACCTCTGCAGTCGGCAGAGGCAGGTCCAATGTGGCAGCTGCGGTGGCAGTGATACCACTGGGGCAAGCCAGCTGAGGAGGGACAAAGCCACTCCAGATGCCTTCAGGGTACGAGTGCCTCCGCACCTAGGATGGAGCGCAGGTGTCCCTCCAGCGTCTGAAGGACCACGTTCTTCACATCCTGCACGTTCTTCCCCAAGAACTGCTCACAGGCCACAGCCAGGAGCTCCTTCTCAGTCATTATCTTCACCTAGAGACAGGAGACAAAACCAAAGGGACTGAAGGTGCCTGTCCAGGCACCCTACAGCAGCAGCAGCAGAAGCAGCAGTACCACCACCAGGCTGCCAGGCCCCCGTGCTACTGATGCTTCAAGGGATCACGCTGAGCTGCCGCCACACTGAGCCAGGCCACTGGACCAGCCAGCGAGCCCCTGCTCACTGCTGCAGGGGACAGCCCTGCTGCAGGCACACACCAGCAGCCAGGGCACACATCTCTCCAAACCCTGACGGCATCTCAGCGTGGAGAGGTGCTCCCTGCAGCCATCTGTCCCACAGCAGTGGGGGCAGAGCCTGGCTCTACCTGTCCCATCTGATGGAAATCCTACCAAGAGCCCTGAACTACCAGTTCAGTCACTGCACCAACACCAGCGCCAGGAGAGGGCTTGCTATTACCACTCCTGGCCAAAGCCCATTTTGTTACCTTTCTCTTCCTCCTCCTTCACTAGAATTAATTTTTCTGAGCCAGGAAAGGCAGAGAACGAGAAAGAGTCTGATGTGCCCAAGGAGCAGCTTAAAACAGGGGCTCCATTCAGTGTTCCCTGGAAGGAGAGATGAGACAATATGGCCACAGCACATGGGCTTGTCCTGCCTGGGGCAAGGAGCTCCTGGCTGTCCTTTGAGGTGTCCCCAGTGTGTCATGGCCAGGACTTGGCTGTTCTGCTCCATATGGTCAGTCTGGTGGCGATCCCTAGAGATGGGACACAGCCACCTCTTTCACCTCCCACTGTCAGAGCCAGGTGTAAAAACATCCCCATTCCAGACAAGCCAGGGTCCTGCTGGTCACGGGGCTGCTTTTTAAAGGCAAAGTGGGTTACAAACCCCTGTGGGGTGTGTTAGGCAGTGGAGATCTGTGCTCACAGAGCTCTACAGCACACAACTACAAGTAGCTACAACCCACCAAGGTGACAGCTCCTGGTGGCCATGTCCAGTGTGAGGGCTCAGGCAAAGCCTGGACATAGAGTTATCCCTGTGCCTGGCAACACCAGAGAAGGTGTTGCCACCTTCTAGCAATACCACTACAGCCACACAGACCTCCAGGTCCCACAGCACCAGAGAAGGGAGCAGTGCCACTGCAGCCACACAGATCTCCAAGTCCCACAGCACCCTCTCATGGAAACAGCTGGGCTGGGCAGTGCTTCCTATCCCGTGAGGGGCTGGTGGCACCCCATGTCCTGCCCCAAGAGCCCTGGCTGGACCTGACTCAGAGAATTCCAAAGCCTCAACTGCACCACAGGGGCCCTCCAAGGGTCCCAGTGCACACTCTTGAGGGGTTCACAGCCTACAGACCTCATCCTGACACCTACAAGAGCGCTTCCAGCTGGCAAAAGCAACACAACTATTTCTTGAGAAAGCTTTGTTTGACAGCCCACTCATCCAAAATGATCCCTCTGGAGCCAAACAGCAGCACCTGGCCCCCACACTGCCAAAGAGCAGGACAACTGGGATGGACCATCACCTTCTAGGGGGACAGCAGGTGGACCTTATTAGATGTGGTGAGCTGGCCAAGACTCACCTGCCACAACCCTGTCCCTCACAACATGAAGAAACATCAACCTGGGCTGACCCTATTTCCTAATGCTGCTTCCCAGGTGGGATCTCTCGGTCAAAATGCCAGACTGAATCACAGCTAAGCACGGCAATCCTCTTCTGCATTGTCTCAAAACCTCTGGGATCCTTTTGGGGTCAAGCCCCAGCGGTTTCTCATCCCTGCACCCAGCAGCGTGCTCTTCCCACAGAAGGGGGAGTTGGGAGAGCTGCTGTGGAGCTGCACCCGGGAGTGTGAGCCCTCCACGAGGCTTTTGCAAGTATCAAAACCAATTAGACTCAGCAGCAACATTTATGGTGTGCATCTGCCAGCAATTCCACTTCTCTAAACAATCCCCACCCTCGGGAGCTGCGGGGAGGACAGAGCACGGAGTGGGATGTTTGTTAGGAGGATCCCTGCGGTACTTAGGAGCAAGGAATGGTTTAGCCTCTGAATAAAGCCAGCCAGTTTACACTGTTGAGCCCTGGACAGCTCAGAACCTGGCTCTGTGCAGAATATGGACACCAACCTCCACAGCAAAGGCTGCACAAAAGAAACAGGGGTTGAGCAATTTGTGCTCAGCGTGTTTGCAGGATTTCAGGCAGGGCACTGCGACACTCGGCGCTTCTTCAAATGTCATTCCCATCAGAGGGAAAGGACTCAGCTGGCAGGGAATCAGAGCCTCCATCCAACAATCCGGTGTGGAGGATCGATACCGCCGCACCCCGCTCCAGCTCCAGCCAGCTGCACTCGCAGTGAGGGGCCAGTTGAGACAATCCAATTAGCCTGAGGCTCAGGAAAATGGTACAGAAGGATGTGGAGCCCAGCATTGGCCCAAGGCAGCAGCATCCCAGCACATCCCAGCACCCAGCCAACACAGAAAGGAGGCTACTGGTGAGCACTCATTACATCCCTCTTCAAGAAAAGAACAGCATCCTTATGCACATTAACCACTTCTATCATTACAGCAAAAACTCTGAAAGCTCTTTCTCTAGAAATAATTTGTTTTCCTTTTTTGCTCAAGCTCTAAAAGGAAAAATGTTTGCCTCAAAAGTACTTCTGCAAAATTAAGGTAACCTGTGCCATGCACATCCCCAACAGCCTCAATCCTGCTTTCTGTGAGGCAATTCCTTGCCTCTCACCTTTAAAATTAACTGACAGTGAAAAAAATGAACAGTGGGAAGAGAGAGTAATATCAATGAGATGAACTGAGAGTTGCATTTTTGAATCAAGGCACCTGGTGATCCAGCTCTCTGCTACTACACACCACTCAGCCTAGGCAGGCAATGGAGGGATGTCCCAAAACTAGGATAAAAGGGAATGCTGCCTTCACAGAAACAGAAGGAAAAGCCTACAGATTTAGGAAATAAGTGTGAAGTGAGACATGGGTGCACATATTTTGCCAACCATGCAAAGATCACTGGGATTATGTGACACCTTAGCAGCTAAATGGATATAAAGAACTGGAAAACAACTGAAAGGTGGATATACAGTACTGATAAGATGAAACCAAGGATGCTGGCTCACATCATCAATGTCAGGACTTGCCCAAGATGCTGGCTCCCATGCTGGTGCTCTTGCATGTATCCCTGTTTCCCAACAGCAGGAGGATGATGGATTATCTGCTGTTGAGTCATGGTCATGCCCAGCCCTTCTGTCACATGTGACAATCCAGAAACTGCTCCTGGCTGAATTCAAACCCTCACATATATACAAACACAGCTCCCCTGCAGCATCAGCTCAGAGCAAACCAATGAACTCAGGAGGAACCTGCTGCTCTGGGAGCACTGGGGGAAATCTGTCAAGCGCTCGGTCTCAAAAGGGCTGCAGCAGCACGCTCTGGGAGCACTGGGGGAAATCTGTCAAGCGCTCGGTCTCAAAAGGGCTGCAGCAGCACCATAGTGGTGTTCCCTGGGGGAGCCTTCTGAGCCATGAGGGATTTTGGTCACATCACTGTGCCACTCAGCAGCTACCCTCAGCTCCAGAGCTCCCCACAGGGAATGTGGCAGCCACCTCTCCTGTGATAACACACCTGGACATGCCTCGGACACACGGTGACCACAGCCCTGTGTGCACTGAGAGCCACTCTTGGTTTATACACCCAGAATGAGCTGTCAGGAGCAATTCTCAAACCATGCAGCTGCCTATTCACGGAGCCAAATTCCCTCAAAAGCTAACAATTCCCTCCCAGCATCCTCCCCAGGGCATGACTTGGGCACAAGGACAGACTGTACCAGGGCAGCAGACCTCAGACTCCCAGAAGAGCAGGGTTCAGTGTGCTGTCACAAGCAGCAAGAGCTGGTGCTTACATTTGAAGAAGGCTGGAGAGAATCAAAATTCAATTCAAGCCAGAAATTTCACACGCAAATCTTAGTGCCTGGAGGGACTAAGTTATTTTTTTTAAGCTTTAACTCACCGTGAAGAATTACAAGGTCCACGTGCTAACAATAATAATACAAAGCAATATAACGCTCGATGCCATCTCTGGAGGGAACAGCTCAGTCCTGTGGGGTCACACATGGGTCCAAGGGCACCGTGGCACATCAGCGTTCCACAAACACATCAAGTCACCCCCCACACACCTCATTTGCCACAGGGACAAATGAGATACCAGAAAAAAATGATTATGGGGAGAGAAAAAGAGGTCACAACCCCCATCACCACACGGGACATGCTGGAGTGTGTTTGAACCAACAAGGACAGCGTGGTTTTGCACAAGGATTTGTTTCAGAGCAGTTGGCTTCTCTGCCTGGACAACGGCAACCTCTTAAGGGGCAAAACCAGAGGTAAGTTAGAGACATGCATTCCTGAAATGATGTTTTGGAGTTACTGTACCTGTGCCACACCTGTGACAGTTATAGCTACCCCCTCCGCCGTCTCTACGTCCTCACACCTGGGCTGTAACGTCATTATCTCTAGGGAAATCCTGCCAAAAAACGTAAAATATTTGCACGTTTCCAGGTTACACACACTCACCTCTTCCCTTTGCATCTCCTGCCCCGGGTTACCTGCCACACTCCTCACAGGTAATGCAAGACAGGCACAGAATGCAGCCGAGGGAGCATATCTGTGATTGGAGACAGACACGGCACTTTGGCTAAGAAGTAGATTTTCACATAATGCTTAAAGGTAATTTATCAGCAAAGGCTGGAAATGATCCTGTGACCCTTTGCCTCCTGCTGGGCTAGGTGAAGGGCCAGAAGCTGGCAGCTTTGGGATTCCAAAGGGCCCTCAGTCAGAGGCTCACTGTGCTGCACTGCCCACTGCCGCAGCAGTGCAGGATGGTGTCACTGGTTTAAAAGCACAGCACGGAACTGGGATGCTCCCACTCGCTGCACAGGAGCCCTGTGTTTGGCAGAACCTGGCACTGATGCTGCAAGAAGTAGCCCTGGATTAGCACTACCACAGACCTAAGCCCTGATCTGGTTCATCTCTCCCTCTATTTTTCCAGTGTTCCATGACCAAATGGAGATATCCAAATGGAGATGAGTCTCCAGCTCTTTAAGGCCATGCCTGTAGAGCATCAGGCACCTAGGAATAGATCCTGCAGCTCCAGAGCTTTCTCAGTCACTCAAGGTGGGCATGAGGTACTTTGGTCAGACCCAGCAGTCTGCAGGTCACAATCTGTAAAAACAAGAGACATGCCTGGATATGGCAGGCTCTGTTTCAGGAAGCTCCCGTGTCAGCCATAACGAGCCGGAAAGGCGTTGGGAGTCAGGACAGGGAGCCACAGGGCAGAGAGCTTGTGTCAGTGAACATTAGGTCAAACATCTGAACCATGAAGGGGCTGCCCTGGGCTGCTGTGTGCAAGCTGAGTCGCTCCAGGATTGGCTGGAAGTGCCGAAACCTATCCCTGCAAGTTCATGCCTGCCTTGGCCACTGTCCTAATTAAACTGGCACGCAAACTGGGAGCTGATAAAACAGATCCCACTGTCCAGGACGTGCACAGGCATTTTTTGCCATGTGCATTCAGAGCTTTAATCAGATACTGCAGGATTTCAGCCTTCTGAAAACCTAATCTACACTTTGAATTTGATTTCCAAGCTGTGCTGCTGCTTAGCTGGCAGTTCACAGGGTCATTGCTGGCTCATAACTGCCCACAGTGCCAATGCCAGTCCTGTGTGCTGCCACTCATCCGAGGTCTCTGTGCTGTACTTTCAAACGTGACGACATCCAAAATGGGCACTGTCTCCATGTGGAGGAAGAAGGGCTGAGTGGAAATCCATAGCCAAAACTGCAGAGCCAGGTACAGCTGCAATTTTCCTACACGTGTACAGGTTTCCTTTTGAAACGACACAAAACCTGCCTTCCCACCTGTCCCAAATCCTGTGCAGAATCCAACCTGGCCTGCCTGTGCCTCCACACAAAAGCAGATGCCCTTCTGCTCTCCTCCAACCCCACAATGGAAACAGTGCTGGCAAGGAAAGGGTTACAGCAGGAGCAAATCTTAGGTACAGCAATGCTGAATTTGGAATTTGCCAAGGATGCACCTGTCTGCATTACCTATAAACTGTGGAGTGCCTCAGGGCAAGTGCTGGAGAAGGGGAAGGAGAGGAGGGTATTGAGATTTCTGTCCCATTAGAAAACCATTAGGTTTTGTGTTATCCTGCTGCTGCTGCTGCTGCTGCTGCTCAAAACAGAGGGACAAACAGACAGGATGTTAGGAAGCTGGTGGATTATTACCTGTGCAACCCCTGTTACGTACAGTGGGACCCCCTCCGACGTCTCAACATTCTCGCAGCGACAGAGGATGGTCATAACCTCCAAAGACACTCTGAGCAGTGAGGAATAAGGGTAGGACAGCAAATACACAAAGCAGTTACCAGAGAGTAAGACACTCATTGCAAAGGACAGAGGAGACTTTCAGGTTTCAGCTTTTCCCTGCTCAGTTTGCCTTTCTCCCACTGCCTACTCCCAGGGCTCCATAATGATGGGGCAGATCAGCTTTCCTAGTTCTGGTGGGGAGTTTACACCATCCACTTGCCTCCTTTAATGAGGCAGGCTGGGGTCTCATCTCCACCCTGCACATGAAACTGAACCATCTATCCCACCTGGACAGCCAGCCTGGAGTCAGCTGGAATTCTCTGTTGAAGTAATCTTTGCACACAGAAAATTCCTTTTCGTAATAATTTTTTACACTTAATAATAATTTATGCTTCTATGTCAATATTTAAGAGAGGCCAGGAAAAATGAAAGTGGCAGAGACCTGGCTACCCACCCCTGGCTAAGGCATTGAGGAGAGAATCTGCTTCCAAGTGCTGTCCTGGGAAGCTGAATTAACACCATTTGGCTCCCCCAGAGGCATATTAGACCGTGCTGTCTCTCTCCCTGCTTTTATTTCTGATCCCTAAACAAGGACAGCGTTTTGTTTTCCTTGTTTTTTCCCCAGTGCTCAAGGTTGCAGCAGAATAAGTGCCCAGCACCCTGCCAGCTCTAACTGTTCCTTTTGTTCCCAGGTTAGTGCTACCTGGCGGGACGCCGCTGACAGCAACACAATTGCTGCTGTCTCTCTTGCTCGCAGCACTGGCAGTTCCAGAAAAAATGTCCTAATTTCAGAGGAGGAAATCTGCCTCACTCTTCATGTTGATGCAGTGGGCTCCATCTGGGGCACAGCTTATGGTATTTGGGAAGGGCTCTGTTTTTGAAGGGAGAATTAAGCCCCATATCCTGTGGTGTGAACTGGGGGTATAGATTTTAAAGTAAAAGATTTGTCTGGGTGCTGGACTACCTGTCAAGAGATCCATTTGCTAAATAATGCCCAGATCTCTCCCACATAACAGCTCATTCCTGGCAAGCAGTTTTGGTCCTGGATTCAGTCTATCCTTAACTTAATAAATCAGCCTCCCAAATATATCTGTTACCTCCTGCACTCAGCAGGTCAAGGTCCCACATTGTTCTCTGCACTTCTCACGTAAGAAGAGTAGGAGCAGGAACCATTTGTTCAGTTAACAGCTCTCCCAACAAGATGTCTCACAAAAATTTGGGAATGAAGCTTGTCTAGATTAAACACAGCAGCAGCCAAGACCCCTTGGAGCAAGAGAAGGTGCATGACCCCCAGGTGAGCAGTGTATCATCTGCAGTGACGGCAGCAACATGCTCAATTGTCTGCTGGTGGCAACATATGAACAGGGAAAAGAGGTTGGAAGACCAGGCAGTAAGGGTTAACTACAACCTCTGCCCATCACTCAGTGCAAAACCCAAAAGTCACATCTTTATCCTTTGCCCTGTTATTTTTTTTTACACAGATGGAGGAAGCCTGTATTGGTGAGCATGAGGGATGTGTTGGGAGAGAGTTAGCATTCCTACAGATCCTAGAGACAAAGAGCTGTATTAGCAGGACAGGAGCACTACCACAGCATGTTAGCTCAGAGACCAGACCGTAAGCAGCAGCAAGCACAATCCATGACTGAGAAAAGGGAGAGAAAGGCAGTCCCACGGTTTTAAATTGGAACAATCTGCTCCCAAGGTGAGAGCAGTCAGCAGATCTTTAGAAAGAGAGACTCGAGGAGCAGGAGGGGGCACTGCAGGCCACAAACAGGTTGGTTACTGGGTGAGGGGTTGGGCCATACTGGGCAGAACTTGGCTTCTCTTGTGAGCTCGTGGATGAGCCAGCCCAGTGCCCTTG